CTTGATTGGTGGAGACGGGCTGTGCACGCGACCACCATAATAAAACCGAGACCTGAGGGGGTTTAAATCTGCCTTTTAAGGCTCCCCGGAGAGCCGTGGCTGGGTGCCTTTGCTGATTGTCGGAAGGGCAAAGCAGATTACAGATTACCAGAGTTGGAAAGGGGACCTTGTTAGGTCATCTAGTTCAACCCCCCCACACACACCACAGCGCAGCTGGCCTGGGATGTCGACCCCTCTCACGCCTGCCCAACAGGGAAGCAGGCTGTGCTATTTGCTTTTACATTCTGTTTTTACATTCTGTTCATGCTGTACTGTGAAACAAAACGAATGTATACTTTTTAAAGAAGTAACACATATATATTTGGGGGGGGGGGTCCAGCCCGACAAAAGGACTCACTTCATTGGTTGGCCATTGTAAGGAAGTTAGCACCCACCCCTCGCCTAGAAAAATGAAATATCCTGGGAAATATTAAAAAGGCAGAATAATTTCCCCTAAACAGAGTAAAGTAGAAACAGAGGCAGAACCTCAGCTCCCCCACCTTTGTTTATGGGTGGGCCCATTAAGGTCTGGGCCACAATACTTTACATAACAAAGATCTCCAGGGAAAGGTAGAGCAATTGCCCAAGAGCCCTTTCAGTGCATCATCATCCAGCAAGGCCCAACCAAGCCTGGAACTCAAGAAAGCCTACAAAGTTAGCTAAGACCCCCCACCCCTGGGAGTCTTGACAGCCAATGGGATACATTTCTTGCACGGGAACAGGAAACACTAAGGTGGGGCCCAACAGAGGGTATATATCAGGGTCTCTCAGCATTTTGGCTGGCCCTTCTTGATCTTTTCCTTCACTTCGAAGCATGTGATCATCCTTTTCACTTTGGAGCTTCAAGCTGTCCACCATTAAACCATCTAACAGCCTTCTAACAACCTAACAGCCTTCATGTTTCCAGTGTCTTTTTCCCCACTTGGAACTAAACCCAGAAGGATAATTCGTTCAACACAATAAAGCTCCCAAGATCTTTGTCTTGTGGGATGTAAAACTGGACCGAAAAAAGGTAAAAAAAATACTTGCCCTTGTCAATTCAGGCGTAGCATCCAGTTCTTGTGCAACCTTCACTCCCAGGTTTTGGTTGTGACCCTACAATCAGTAAGGTGCTTTTTTTTTTTTTTTTTTTTTTAAAGCTTTGCAAATGATTCCAAAAACACCATCAGTTCTTAAGGTTTCTGACTGAATGCCGCAATTCATAAAAATGAAACTGATTTTGGATGGGCAGTGCTGGACCATAGGTTTGCATCCTGGAAAACTGCAACGAACGGTGACGGTTCATATGGCCTGCACTGAGAGAGAATCCCTGAGATGTCCTGTGTTTCAGAAGGGCACCCCAAAATCTACAGTAGGGCAGCAAAACCAACACAATACATTTTGGAAGAGAACATTTTGGGGATGGAATTGTAGGAGAATATGAAATGAGTGGAGTGGTGGCCTAGTGGTGAAGACATTCGAATGATTGAGAGTTCAATCCTCTCTCCTAGGGTGCAAAGAAAAAAAAATACCAGGAAGTGCCTGTAAAACACTCAAGTGATTGTAAAACAGATGGGGGTTTTTGAGTTGTAAGGGAGTATGTAGGAGACGGGAGAATGACATTCTCTAATTCCAAATACTCAGTATAATACTCATTTCTCCGGATTTCATTTTTTGTATCATATTTTTCTTTCTATTTAAGTAATAATGGCATCATTAATGAGGTATAGACAGTAATTTGCACTACAAGCCTGTAAAAAATGAGAATAAGACAGAGGCTATAACAAAAAAAAGCATCTGGTAACAAGATTACTGTACTGCACACACACACACACACACACACAGAGAGACATAATTTCTTACCTGTCAACATTTCTCTTATAGAAAAATCTGTGTTCTATTTATGGCAAAGTATGATGAACGAAAGATTGCAATTTCCGTTACAAGAATCTGAATTTCTGAAAACATTTAAATGCTTCTCTTAATATCTTTGGAGGAAGGCATATTGAAGTATAAGTGGAGATTTTTTTAAAAAAATGCAAATACAAGAGCTTGTGTGTCATGTCATGTCATATCATTCCATGTGCTTTCCAGTTATTTAAACTATATGCCTTCTGGTGGGGAATGAGGAAACAGAATATAAATCCAGGTCTGCCAATAACTACTGAACAGTTAGTCTGCTGTACACAATTCTTTGTTTTGAAAAGATGATGAAAACAAAGCCCAGAGCAAAAGAATTTTGCACATAAATAAGGAGCTTTATCCAGCTATGACAGGCTGAGTTCATCAATGCATGTTCTGTAATTACAGCAGGATGTTACAGTACAATTATTTCTGTGCCCTAAAGATGTTTTTAAGTTGGTGAAAATAATGATCAATCACAGGGTGAGCAATTTGGAGCAACTTTACGACTTCAACTCCCAACATGGCTGGTTCAGAATTCTGGAAGGGGGTGTTCACAGGTCATAAAGTTGCTATCGGTGCCCACTCCCAACCAGCCCCATCTATGAGAATAATTCTTTTTTAATGAAAGATAAATCAACCAAATCAATACCTAATTATTATTTTTTTAAATTGTGAGTTAAAGACACATGGTTAAAATTTATGCTATTACACTGTTGATGTTTAAAATGGAACAAAGATGCTTAAGGAAAACCCACCCATCTGGAATTGGATGGTATATATGTTACTGAACTCTAATTTTATATTTTAATTTTAATTTTAATTTTATTTTGATTTTAAATAGCAATTCTATTGGTTGGTAACCTATAACAAAAACACCAAAAGGCTAATGATTGATATTATATAGTGATTTATATTGAATTTGGAAATGCCACAAAAGAAAATAATTAAAACTCAGTACAATTTTACAGTTCAATTAAAGCTATTATAGAGGAATTAGTTATAGATATTAATTCTCAATCTATTTATCTCCACTTCAATGCTGATTAACTCTGAAAACTATGAATTGCTCTCCTATCCCAATCTCTTACATCTGATTTTTACATTATCTAATTGTACTCTTTGCTATGTAACTGGAACCCAGACAGAATATTAGTTATTATTTGCCAATATTAGGTATTATTTGTCAATATTATTTGCCCTGTTGCTATCCTGATATAGTACTTTGCTCTTTATCACGTATTTTTTATCCATTATGCTTTTCCCCCCTAATGCTCCAAGTGCAATGTGGAAATCAGCCACATAGAAGTGCTAACTGGAATGTTTCAGCAAAGTATTAAAAATTGATTTTGAAACATACTTTCGTTTGAACTCTTGGAAGCTTTGGTATGCCACACAAGAAAGTTTCAGTGAACTAAATATGGCAGAAAGGTAGCTTGATTAAGAAAGCATATCTTGTGAGTAAATAAGTCATGATGGGTCAAAGGAACACCAAGAAAGTAAAATGCAAATTATTTGCATAGTTCAGGTTTCGAATATACTATACTAGCTCTATACCCGTGCTTCGCTACAAAACTATGTGATCAGGCAAGTTTTTGGGGAGGAAAATAAGGGTGGGAAATTGTGCCTCTGCCTACCAGCATCCATAGTTACTCATCTGGCTAGCATCCTGTCAGTGTGTGAGAGAGTTGAGGGCTGTTTGGAAATTGAAACATGGAAACTGAAACAGTATTTGCCGTGTGAGCAAGGAGGAGACAGCAAGGAGCCTGGCCATGGTTTATCTCAACTCTTCTGTACTAAAGCTGGTTGCTGCTATGAAACTGAAACTCCTCTCCTCTGCTTGTGTTTTGCATTTCGAACAGATCTCTTTTCAGGTTGGGAGGGGGAATAGAACTTCTTAGCATCAGAGTGTGTTAATAATATACTAATGCTCTGATGGTCATTTTGAAAAATCCTTTCTTGGTGAGCATCTAGAAGCCAAGAGGAACATACGTGCCAAATTTCACGTTTGTAGGCTTTACGGTGGTAGAGATTTTGTGATGATGCATGAGTGGTAATTCACTTTTACCGTGTTTCTCCAACAATACGGTCTCCACCAATAGGAAGGCCCAGCATGATTTCTAGGCATCAGGTGAAATTAAGCCCTGTCCCCCAAATTTAGGCCTATTTAAACCATGCATTTCCCCGCCATTTCTCACATTGTTCATTAGAACTACATGAGGTGAAGCGAAATGGGCGGGGGAAGGGCGGGGGGATGGGGAGAAAACTTGCCTTTAGGAGTGACCTGTAGGTAGCCTAGGTTCAGGTCGTGGCGTGGTGACCCGTGTCCCCTCGCCTTTAGGGCAGTCTCTTTTGGGCGATGGAAGCTCCCCAAATGCAGTCACCAGCCACTTTGATCGGCCGGTAGAAGTGGCCTCAGGGCGAGCGCACACACACACTCCCCTCACCGCGAGGCCGCTTCTTTCGGCAGATGAAAGCTCCCTTGAAGGCAGAGTCCCCAGCCGCTTCGGGGCGAGGCGGGGCTGCCCGTGTCCCCTCGCCATTAGGCAGTCTCTTTCGGGCGATGGAAGCTCCCCAAATGCGGTCACCAGCCACTTCGATCGGCCGGTAGAAGTGGCCTCGGGGAGAGCGCACACACACACTCCCCTCGCCGCGAGGCCGCTTCTTTTAGGATTTTGTTTCAGGTAATACCAATGATCTTTGCAAAAGTAAAATTTTGACTTGCAACCCAGCACTCCGAAATAAGCCCAGTAGAATCC